TAGGCTAGTTAAATACAACTAATATGTAATTGTATTTATGATTGGAAAATAGTCGTTAGAAACAACACAACTACATTTGGGGCCTCATCGTGTCTGTGACGCCCTCGTAAAATGGTTAACAGAATTCCTGAGCCTGCTTAAAACTCACTGAGTTTAAAGACTCTGATGTTGGCACTCTATTCACTGCCAGTTTCCTAGTCTAATACCTGTCTTAGCACGCCACCTACTGGTTCTACTGAAGATTGCTGTCAGTGTTGTGTAATAGATTTTCTACAGTATTTGCATTTTTTAGCATTCTTCTAAAATGATGGCAGCGTCCCCAGAGCACTGAGCTGCCCGTGCAGAACTAAAGCCACTAAATTCAGAGAGTCTGATTCTTCCAGTTACTTCTCAGTTACATGGAGGGCGCTTTGGAGACACTGCAGTCTCCAAAGACAAAGTCAATACCAGTGGCAAAAGTGGTCTATTCAGAGATGGGCACAGTAGGTACAGAGTATATGAGGATTTTTTTGCACATAAATAAACAAAAGCCTGATATGTATTAATGTGTTATTCTCTTCCTAAATTTAGTTTCTTTCTAGCTTTGCCTTCCTCTCCTGTTTTTATTAAGTTTTGGCTGTAGAATTAACATTTAAAAATTGGCACTGAGATATGTATAAAGCTGCCCCATTCCCAAAAAGCTCAACATTTTCCTTACATGTCCATTACCTTCTCTTGTTTCATAGCCTATGACTATCATTAAAGGCGTGATCAGTTATTTTAGAAGCTACCAAGTTGGGAGCAAAGTGCTGTTAGACATGTGACTGGACAGTGAATTTGATTCTGTTCAGAGTGATATTTGAATTTTGCAGACTCTTTTTATTTTCCAGGGATGTATTTAAGAGTTTCAAAGTATCATTCTTTCTTTATTCGCTGAAATACTTCTATAATGAGAAATATCCCTTAATCACAGCTGAGATACTTTAAGGTACAGTTCTGAAGATATATACCTTTACAATTCTTTTTTCAATAAAAATGAATCAGGTTTTGTTGGAACAGATGCTTTGTATTAGACTATTTTTTCTCTTATGATTACAAGTCTTACAAAGCACTAATGTTCTTAAAACAAAAATTAACAAAAACGATTTCGAGAATGTCTTAAATTATCGAAGATATAGCAGGTTAATGTGTAATCCGTTTTTAAATGGATTTAGTAGTCATTGCTATAGGCATTAAGAAAAGCCATTGAAGGCTTTATGAGCTAAATGGTGGAGTTAGAATTTGAACCAAAATGAACTCCAGAGCCCATCATCTTAATTCCACTGTGTGCTCTTAAGGGTGGTAGAACGTGCGGGCCGAGGTGTGGAGACGCTAGGAAGCCATTGCCGTGGTACAGTGGTGCAGGAACAGGGCCCTACATGACATCTCAGTTAACTTTTAAACTGACTTCAGTCTGCATCTTCTTAAGGGTGGGGGGTTGACCTCTAAGGCTAGGTATGTTAGCAAAGAGGCAGATACCTTACATTGCTCCAGAAGCTGGAACCAACAAATTAAATGCTGTGTGTGCAGTGTGTATATCCAAAAATTGTATATTCGTTGATATAAACAATTTAGAAGGCAAACAAACGTGTGTGTGTGTTAAATTCTAATTTAATCTTCCTAAAACATTGTGGGTCAAGATTTTATAGGAAGTAGATGAAAGAGGTGCCTTCGCATTTTACGTGTGAGAAGAGTTGCCGCGTGGCAGGGCTAGGACGAAGCTCCTGAGTCTCAAGACCAGGGCTTTCCTTACACACCTGAGAATATGAGTGCTTTTATTTAGAAAGATTTGCATCAAGAAGCTGTCAAGTGGAGTGGATGAATCTGTAAGAGCAAAGTCAATTTAAAAGGCTTGGGGGAGGGGTGGCCAACCGGTGGGTCAGGGCTGCTGAATTATTCGACCTCATTGATATAAGCAGGAGGTCTCACATCTTTTGTTTAAGGTCCGCTATGGGGCACTGGACAGCAATTCTTAGAGCCGTATCCATCTGTACAGCTGCTAGGCTGGGAATTGGTTAATAATAGATCTCAAGGCACAAAAGGGGTTTTTATCCTTCATTATGAAATCATCCATTTTTCGCTGGCTGTTGGGGTTTGTTCTTGCTATACTACATAAGAGGGAAGTAGCACCATTGATCTGAGCAGTCCGGTATTAGATTTTGTTTGCAGATTAATATAATACATCCTGTGATGTAAGAAAATTGAATTTTGAAGTCAGGGCCTTATGTTGAGTTAATAATGATAGTCACATGTTGTCATGAGACCCAGAGCAGTCTTTCTTCAACGGAGCATTGAAGCACAAAAATTTACACAGTATTACGTTTAATATTGTATGTGAAGATGTCTTAGTTTAACTCATAGGTCATGGGCACAACAAACTACAGGATTGCTATCATGGAGGTCGAATGGGGAGTTTGAATACTGAAATCGAAGAAGAAATCCAGAACCAGGGTCTTTTACAGCTCTTTCAGGTAGAACTTAGTCTTAAAACTCGTTCACTTTTCCACCCAAACCAAAGTGATCTATAAAGGCCTCACCTCTAACCCAAGCACTGAGTACTTAAACTAAATTTGGAGAGTGAGTGTCCGAAAGCAGGTTGTTGAAGGTCTGGGTAGTAGCCACACAGTGATTCCGTAACACATGAAGTGCAGTTGAATATCGAGCAGACTAATGTTTTGTCCTGTGAGGGAGCAGTTGGTTTTATGTAGACTAGTGCTAGAACAATAGAAGCATAGAGGGGAAAAACTGAACAGGATCAAGATGCAAATTTCCTTTGCATTAAGATAAAGATTGGCTGATTTCCTAGTGAGAAATTTGCAAGAATGGGTGTGAATACAAGTTAATATTCTTTAATATCCAAAATATATAAAGAACTCATACAACTCAACACCAAAAAAAAAAAAAAAATCCAATTAAAAAATGGGCTGAAGACCTGAATAGGCATTTCTCAAAAGAAGAAATATAAATGGTAAATAGAAATGAGAAATTTAACTTCAGTAATTAAATCAATTTAGGATAAGAACAATTGGCCATTTGGATTCTAACAAATTGACTAAGTTTTTTAAAGTGATAAAAACGCATTGCTGGTAGAAGTGTTGGGAAATGGGTTCTATTTTATCGATGGAAGTAATAGAGCATCTCTTCTGGATGATATATAAGGTGCTTTGGAAAATACACATGCTTGTCACCCAAGAATTCCCCTTCATAAAACATATCTAAAAATTAATTAAGGATATGCAGGAGGATGTAGGTATAAAGATGCTCATTGCTGTCTGTAACAGTAAAAATTTAGAAGCAACCTAAGTGCCCTATAAAAGGGGATTATTTATGTGAACTGATCTGCTCACACAGTGGCATACTGAATTTGGTATGGAACCATACTTACTGAAAAAAACACATTTTCACAAATTGTCAAGTGAAATTATGGGGTCTAAATTGTATGTACACAATAATTGATTAAAAAGTTGGCAAAAATAAAAACAAAGATATTAATGATGGTTGTGTCTAGGTTTTCTTTTTGCTTCTCTTCTTTTTCCTGTTTTTTTTTTTTTTTTGCTTTTTCTTTTTTTTGTTATGAAAATAAGGAAAAGGTTTAACATTCATATATAATGTGAACTTCTGTTGAGTTGCACAGCCATCTTCAGCTTTGCTGTTAAGAAGGAGCTGGACATTTTGTTCCAGAAATATCAGAGTTTATGCGTTTGAGTTAGGAATGCAAGTTGGCTCTCATCCGGTTATAACCATGGAATCTGGTTTTAATTATATAAAATACGGCATCTTTCATAGGTAAAAGGAACAAATTCTAGCCATTCTGGGGGCTATGGAAAGGAAGAAGCGGGGAGGAGTGGGTGAAGAATATTTTATTTTATTTTTATTAGTTTATATTTAAAGTGATCTTGGGAATTTAGATGAATACCTTGTTTTGTTTTCTAGGCCAAACTCCAGAGCACCCTAGAAAGCTTGACTAAAAGAATGCTCATGTTTGACCCTGTCCCTGTCAAGCAAGAGGCCATGGACCCTGTCTCGGTGGTAAGTTTTCTAAAATTGAACATTTTCTTACTTATTCCAAGTGGTAATAACATTATCGTGTGTCGTGTTATTCCTTAAAGTTACTCATTACTTAACAGCTGTTTGATAGGGAAACCGTTCAAAGCCCCCAGCAGTAAGCGAGGTTAATACCCTCCTAGCAACTGTACATCCTTGGATCAATTAGATTCATGTTTCCTTGAGTCCTGTGCCACACACGCCCCCAAGATAGGATCAGCATGGAACACGGGCCACTGCCAAATCTCGTTGCACCAGAAGCAGGTTTACAGAAACTCCTCAGTTACCAGTTTTTAGTTTAGGCTCTTAGGATTATTGATTTTGGGGGCGGTGGGAAGTTTGGCCACTGATTTTTTAAAAAAATTAATATACATCTGGGGACATCTTTTTAAAAACCCATAGCAATTTCTGAATGTACCTACAAGAACTCTCTATCAGGAACATGATGACTTAGAGGTGTTTTTTACTCAAGGTCACCGCCCTGATTATATAGAAGAGTTTTCAAAAATGTTTGAGATTGTCTGTTTTTCTTTTTGATACTGGAAGAAAAAGTTATTTCACTGGATCTCATATAGTGTTTAGGGTATGTTTCACAGAGCCGATTAAAAAGATGAAACAAAAATCACGTGCCCTATCTCGTCTGATCTCAGAAGCTAAGTAGGGTCGGGCCTGGTTAGTACTTGGATGGGAGAACACCTAGGAAGACCAGGTGCTGTAGACGTTAAAACAATGAAATATATATATATATAACAACTCAGTCCTTTTGCTTGTAGAAATATATTAAGGATAAAAGGATTTGCTTAAAAACCAATGACAGCCGCCATATGGAGCTGTGACTGCACGAGAGGTGACTGAGGAGAAGCTAGCAAGAGAACTTGGCAGCGAGGAGAAGTTTCATCTCCCCGGGAGGAGTCCGTGGCTAGGAGGGAGTTGTATTCATATCCTTTTTAAGCATCTTAGTGCTAAGCTGGTCCCTCTAAGCCAGGCCCCTTACATACTTTTCCGCCATCGAGAAAGACTAGTAATTAATTAGTCTTGGTATTTATGTAAGCACAACACTAGTGCTATGGAGATGGGACGTGGATGACAACAGAAAGGTGTGTTTCACCTCAAAGCAGGGTTAAGACTGGAGGGGATCTGGTTTAGTAAATAGGAAATGACAAGGCAGGCAGCATTCTCACTCTGCCTCACTCTTGTCTTCCATGGGCTTGGAAAATATTCACAAGGGGGAAAAATTTAGCCCAAGTTGTATATGTGAAGGTCGATAATGACACACTTGCAAAATTAGATCGTCCTTATGCATTGGCTGTGGCAGTTCCTGCCAAGAATGTTTATACAAGACATGGGGGTCACTCTGAGGCCCTTGAAACCAAGTTGCCATGGATATTCCTAAGCCAGTGATATGTTTACCACTATGTACAATGAAAAGTTAAGTCAGAGTGGCTTTAAGGAAATAACATTTACATTCCAGCATGATAACTGGTTAACTGAGTGTCTGAATATAACTGAGCAATAAGAATTTTATTAATCAAAAACTAAATTGACTTATAATGTTATTCAGTGCTGTCATCATATTCATCAACCCATTTCTCCCAACTGTTGCATGATCATGTTGAAGGAAAATTAAGCTATAAAATTTCTCTATTAATTATACCCTTGAAATATGAATAAGTTTTTAGTACTAGAGAATATGATTAATTTCATAAATGATGCAGAACCATCATGATGCACTTTACTATTCAATATACCTCCAGTGCTTTTAATCAAGCATGAAAATAGGGCTCAAGAGCCTAATTTAAAGCTAAAATGGAGATCCATGTTGCTTAGTTATATCATGTTAATTATATCATATAAGTGCAAGAAAATGTGCTTGATTGAAAAAAAATTTTGAAATAAAATGCATTCGAAGTAATGGTTATATTTGTAATGCTGTAACTTATATTAATACATGAAGCTAGAATATGTAGAAGTATTTTGCAGTTAATGATCTTTTTCTCCTTTATGCTCTAGTTTTCAAAGTCAACTAATGCTTATAGAAATTAATTAGGTCACTTCACCAAAAGTTTGTGTCAATCCTTACAGTGAAGTTTCTTTTTAATTCAGTGAAACCTCAGTTAACTGAAACATTTGGGGAAGAGAGTGTTGTGATTATGTTTCACTCTGAAATCTTCAAAGTTCATTTTTCCTGCCTTCATAGTGGGAGTGTATTAAACCTAATTTATTATTCCTTTATTGCTTTTTACTTTTTAATTCTATCTTTGACCTGAAAGTTGAAGTCTTTGGTTATCTGAGTCAATGTTCTAAACATTAAAGCAGTATAGGACAGTTTGTAAGATTTTTTTGTTTGTTTTAATTCCAATTATCAATAAAAATATTTTACAACGACTTATCTCCCTGCCTTACCCCCCTTTCTCTTAAAAGGAGAGCACAGCAGAAGCAATCTGCTTATTTGGTATTTTGCTATAATTTAAAGAAAGTGAGGAAATGTCATTTCTCTCTTGCCCGAGTATAAGCCTTCATACCGTCCTGTGCTTTGAGGCAAATGGTAACGCTTGGGATTATCTTGCTAAAATTTATAGGAATAGGGAGCAGAGTAGACTTTACCTGCCCAGGTCCGTGCCTGGATCTCCGCTACTTATTCTCAACAAATATAATGTTGGCGAAACCACCAACAGCTCCCTGAGCCTATTTTTATTATTTTTCTTATTTTTTGTTATTTTATTATTTTTTTAATTTGTAAAATTCGAGATTATAATTTGTAAACTATACACCGTGTGAATATTAAATGCACATGTGAAAGAATTATTTTTACCAATACATTTTCAAAAGTGGGAAATTAAAGAATTTAACTTGGAGAGTGAGAAAGGAAACAAATTTTTATAAAGAATTCTTTCTTATTCTATTCCTGTAGGAAGATTACTTTTGGAAGAAAGTATCTTCTTTTTCTTTTTTTTAAATAAAAATTGTTATCTAATAGACTCCTTACAGATCGAGAAGTACTTAAAGTCACTAGTTCCTCTGCTCTGTTCTCTATGACCCTCCTGAGCTGGGTAGAAAGGGGGCTTTCTCCTTTTGTTTGCATAGAGGGGCCTGACATTTGCCAGAGTGTTTGCTTATAAAGGCACCACGCCTTGCTGCACTGGGAACCCCACCCTTAGTATGAAGATCCCTTTGAATTGCCATCACTGTCACAGATGTTCACTTTAAAAAAAAAAAAAATTAATGAATAGGGAAACAGAATTCATTCATGTTTCAGGCAGTCAGTCCATCCACTTCAACTGTTTTGTAATGGAAAACTCACCAAAACTATTCCCAATATATAAAGGGATAACTTTAGAAGATTATCCAAATCCTGAGCCTTTCTCTTCAGCACAATTAAAAACAATTTTTTTAGAATCAAAAGAATTAGAATTATTTTTAGCCTTGTTAATTGTAAAAACTGACTCAGAGTATGCTGATTTACTTCATTCATTCAGTATTTATTAAACTCCTGTGGCAGGGCCTCGTCTCCCATCTAGTGAGAGGAAGCATTCAGCAAATAAATGCACACAGTGTGGAGGGGAAAGCACTTTTCTTAATAACGAATGTTTTTGAGAAGTACACCCATTACTGTTCCTAGTCAAGATTGGGGTTGGAGTTGCCTTGCCGGAGCCTGGTCTTCAGGCTGCTCTGTTCCAGCACACAGGGCCTTTGGGTAGGCAGTACGTGGGGCGGGCACAGGATGTCCATCAGTGGCCACAGGCCCCTTTTCTGTCTCTGATTTCGATTTGGGGCCAGTATGGCCACGTTTATTTGTGTTGCTTTGTTAGAAGATAGGAATGGTCTGGAACAGAGAGGAAGCAACTGGGACCAGGGTGCTACCCACCCAAGGCACACACCCCGAGCATCCCTGTACCAGTCCTTACACTGTGGGAGAACCAGATTGTTTTAAGCGGATTGCAATAGCTTGTGTCCTCCACCCAAATAATTAAATGTGTCAATGTCCTGATAAACATTGCTGTGACATTTGCTAGTGAGACAGTTTGAGGAACCACATTTCTTCACCCTTTTGTGAGGCAGTCAGACTGGAAATAGTTAAGTGTGTACTGAGTTATGTGCCCAAATGTGTCTCCTTACTTTTAGCTCAAACACCACACAACAATATAGGAGACGGGACATTCACTGAAGAGCGAACTCTCAGCAAAACTGCATAATGTTTAGAAACCTTGACTCTTTATGCAGCTTTCTCCTTCTTTATGGCTTGAGAAACCTAAGAATATTATTAAATTTGCATATCTCCCAGGTTCGAAATTCCTTCTTTCCTTAAACTCACTCACAGATACAAAAATCCAGCAATGACAGCAATAAAAGTGTGCCCTCATTTTGCTTCCTATTGAGCTGCCAATAACTTGGCATTAAAATCTAGGTCATAGGGAGGTCATTGAAGAATAGGGCTGAAAATAAAGGCAAAGCTACATTTTTTGTGAGTAGAAACAATTAATGCTGCCTCCCATTTCCTTAAGTTTTTGTTTCTAGTACCAGAACTTTTGCCCTTTAGAGAATCATATAATGCAGGTTAAATTTTAGAACTAGGAGAAATATTTCCCCCTTGTATTTGATTACTTCATTAAACCCTCATTGTACATTATGTATATATATATATTTGTTTTTTGGTTATTGAGCCTTGTGCCTCATAATTAAATTTAAACAATAATAATATTCTTATGTCTTGTAGTGTACCTGTCAGTGTGTGCCTGGTTCTAAAAAAAAGAAATTGTCCTTTCTTCATATGATTCTTAATACATAACTCAAAGCTGTTTTTAAAAACAATTTACATATTTTGTATTTCTGGATTTTATATCCTTCACATCTTGTTTCGACGCAGTGCTATTAATGAAAATTCTTCCCTCCCCCCCTTTAAATTGTACTTAAACAATTTCCCAGATTTTAATAATAAAAATTAGTATTTTTATTTTTTATCTCAGTCATCTAGAGCTGCACTATTCAAAAGGCCATCTGTGCACCCGGGGCCACTCCTCAGTAATTCAGAATCTACAGTTTGAGAGGATGGAAGCCCGTGGCAGGGCACATCTCTTGTATAAAAAAAGGGGGCTCTTAGGACCATAGTGTGTGTTAAACTTATTACAGAAGTTATCACATTGAATCCAATTTTAATTTTAACCCTACTGCCTCCTAGAAGGTGGGTATCAGTACTGGCTTGACAAGTTTTGCCATATCCTGATGGCACCTGCACTTCTAATATTTAGCTAGTAATTTTTCTTGCCTTCTTTTATAGAATCACTTTTTTTTTTTTTAACATAATACATTTATTTTAACAGGGAACATTATCACTACTGTAAAAAAAAGTTTTTTATGCATGTAAATAAACACCTAATTATTTTAAAGTACGGTGTGCTCATCACGTGCCACCCGTAAGCATCTGCAGTGCCTCCCGAGGGATATGTACTGGCATCACTGTTCTAGGAGACCATACAGGTTATGATGATAGGGAGAAAGAAAGGACAGAAGGAAAATATGTAATCTGAACAATGAGAAACTGACATCAAAACCAGACGAAGGTAAATACCACTGGGGCCCCTGTTCCCAGATACTCTGATCAGTAGGCCTGGAGTGGAGACCAGGCATCTGAGTTTTAATAACATCAGCACAGTGATTCTGATGCATAGCCAGGCAGAGAATCACCCAGCGGGGCCCAGAAAGGGTGTGATCTTAAGTCGTAATCCCAGTCAAAACCACTGCTACCCCACAGTTATTCATAACTCAACAACAGTGGCCGCTAGAGGGGCCGTGGAAGCTCAGGTATTAATAGTGCATTTCAGCCGGTTAATTATAAAGCCCCCTTGGTGGGTTTTCTTGGTTGCATCCTGAGCTAGTATCACCTCAGAATCATAAACACACAGAATTTAAGAGCTGGAAGAGAGGCACAGTGTTTTGCTTATCACTTTCACTGTAAAACATTCAAATAAAGTAATTTTCTGCGGGAGGTCATGACATGTTATCACTAAAAATTTCCGTTTATCTAAAATGCCTACACATAAGAAAAAAAAATGGCTTAGGTTTAATTTTTTTTAAAGCATTCTACAACGAAGATTTTTAAAAATTTTAGTTAAGGAACATAGTAATTTTAGTGAGTTCCATGGCCAGGGACATTAACCAGCTTGTGCAATTATTATGATTATATTTAAAGCTGGTAGATGGAGTTAGGTTACCCTGATATTAGAAGAGGGAAGGGTATTTGAAGATCAATTAGGTCATTTGTAGAACAGATCTTAGATTGGGGAGGATACAAACCATTTTTTCTCATCCAGGATCTTGTTGGCTTATCCTCCAGCCTCTTTTGATGGGGAGAATAGCTAGGGGTAGAAAAGAGAACACTGGGCTCCAGCTTATGTGCAAGTCATTTCGAGCATCACATGTCCTGATTTGAGTCATATTATATTAGCCTTTTCTTACAATTCTGTGTCATCCACACATTTGGAAATCAAGTCATCTTCTAGAGCTTCATTCAAACTGTGAATAAGGCTGTTAAGGCCAAGGACATAGCTACATTAGTGTGGATGGCCTTCAGTGTATAGGTGTGCAGGGTGACTGGCCATCTGGTTTGCTTGAGACCGAGGTGTTGCCCAGATTGTAGGACTTTAGTGCTAAAGCCAAGACAGTCCCAGGCCAATCAGGACTATTGGACATCCTAGGCAGGGATTCATCAGTGGCTCAGGCCCACCCAAAGGTGCAACTTCGTTTCTCCACATTATATACACCAGTACATTGTGAGGAATGTCCGGTGCCCTGCTGCTGAGGTGAAACACTAAAGCTAGAGAGAGCATTTCCTGCCAGTTAAGAAACTCCATCAGAAAAGTGATGAAGTTAGTTGGCTTGGCTGGTTCTTGGTGAACCCCAATGCTTACTCCTAACGATAAAGACCCATAAGGATTCTGTTTGCTTACCTGTTTTAGAATGTTGGCAGTTATCAACCGAAACCTAATATTTCACAAGGGTATCACCTTAGAATTAAATTTGAGATTTTTTTCAGGTGATATAAGGTTACCACATTAACCTAAGTTCTTATGTTTATTAGACCAGCTCTCTCATAGCATTTTTTCAGGGTCAAGCATATATCTAAATCCAAACGACTTTATAAAGTTCATGAAATTGAAAATGCCTTGTATATTTTCATCTTAATTCATGTTTCAAGCATATGTACTTATTTGGCTGTTTTCCACATTTCTGTTTTTCCTTTCCAATAGTCATACCCATCTAATTACATGGAGTCGATAAAGCCCAACAAGTATGGAGTCATCTACTCCACACCGTTATCTGACAAGTACTTCCAGACCCCGGAAGCCCTGTCGCATGGGATGCAGATGGAGCCAGTGGACCTCACCGTGAACAAGCGGAGTTCTCCGCCCTCTGCTGGGAATTCCCCTTCCTCACTGAAGTTCCAGCCGTCACACCGGAGAGCCTCACCTGGGCTGAGTATGCCATCTTCCAGCCCGCCGATGAAGAAGTACTCACCCCCTCCCCCGGGAGTGCAGCCCTTCAGCGTGCCGCTGTCCATGCCACCGGTGATGGCCGCCGCCCTCTCCCGGCATGGGATCCGGAGCCCGGGGATACTGCCTGTCATACAGCCAGTCGTGGTACAGCCCGTCCCCTTCATGTACACCAGTCATCTCCAGCAGCCGCTCATGGTGTCCTTGTCCGAGGAGATGGAGAATTCAAATAGTAGCATGCAAGGTAAGCTCCACCGCTGATGCACACTGCTGCTCCAGCTTAGTATATCTGGTGTCTTCACCAGACAGCCTGGTTGAGAGAGCAAAGGAAGCAGAGAGCCAGAGCTGTTGAACTTTTAAAAGGAAATTTTCCACTTAGCGTCTGCCTAAGGCATTTCCTTTTCTTTTCTTTTCTTTCTTTTTTTTTTTTTTTCAAGTGTTGATACTGGAAGAGCTCCTAAGAATCAGGCTGTCTGTTTAATGCCATGAAATGATTACTTTCACTATGCAGTTGTCAACTTTGGGATAGTAAGAATCTTGACTTTTTATTTTGCTTTATAGAATGCTGATGTGATTCTAGGTGCAAAAAGGCATTTAATATCTTTAACTCGTGGTGATAACTAATGGCTATTAAAAGCTATCTTCTTTACTGACTAGACATGGGCAGAAGCCTGGGATTAAAAAGAGATAACTAAAAATCATAAAGAATCATTTATGGGCTGCTTACTCGCAAAATAATGGTCCAGAGAAACAGGAACCCCCCTCAGATTCATTGCTGCCAAAAGCAGATAAATACTCACATATCAGTATTGCAGATACGAGCTATGCAATAAGCTTCTAAAAGCTGAAATTGTTAAATTATACGTAGAGTGACTTTTCTATTTTTATTTTTATTTTTAGTACCTGTAATTGAATCGTATGAGAAGCCTATATTACAGAAGAAAATTAAAATAGAACCTGGGATCGAACCACAGAGGACAGATTATTATCCTGAAGAAATGTCACCCCCTTTAATGAACTCAGTGTCCCCCCCTCAAGCATTGTTGCAAGAGTAAGTACATTTAGGTCTCCCCGGCATTTCTGTAGCAGCATGCATCTTGGGACCTGACATGGAAGCACAAGCTTCCGACGTGTGATGTGTGTGGTTTGCCGGGAACACCTTGTAGTATGTGGTAGCCACTGGGCAAGGTGGGAGGACCTGTCCAAAAACTGCTCTGTTACACGGACAGCATGTGACAATGACCTCAAGTCACCCGTGAACTGGTCACTCATGATTTTGCCACCTTACCAGATATATCATTTTTATCTTTTTTTTTTTTTCATTCTTCCAGACTATGTATAGTTTTTCCATAATCTTAATCCCAGCGTGGGTTGACTTTGATGTTCTAAATATTCTACTTAAGGTTGGATCATGAAAACTGTTCATACGGACACACGTCATCCTTCCCAGTTGTTACTTGTAATAGGGTATACTGTTTCCATCATGGGGACTGTCTTTAATCACAATTTTGGGGCCGACCATAAGCCCAAGAAAGACACTCCAAAACGGGTCCTGTAAATAAGTGGTGGCAACAGAAATTGTCCATGTAGCTCAGAGAAGCTCAGCATTGAAAAAACTTTATTATCTGGTCTTTTTAATCATATCTGCCCCTAGATTGTTCAGTCTGCTTTAGAACTGCCATGCAGTGGAAAGTTTACACTATATTGGTCAGAATCCAAGCACCTGAACAATGGTTTGTTTTAGGTCTCGCTATAATGTAATGATGCCGCACACATCATTAATGGGACTTGCTATTAGATATCCTTGACCTCTACCAGTGATTACAATGAGGCTGTGTTTTAAGTAGTTAAGAAAGTGACCTTCGGATCTGACGTCTTGGATCCCAGCTCTGCTCTCCACCATATGTATGACCTTGGGCTAATCACTTAATCTTGCTGCCTCCATTTCCTCTTTATTTTCATTATTGGTTGTAATTATTATTGTTATTTTTGCTGTAATTGTCTCGTGTTATCTTTCAACATTGGATTTAGTGGCCAGCTTCCTAGTACAGGGTCCTCAGGGTCCCTTCCATCATCTTCCTCCTATATCACCTTTTCTCCACCTTGAACAAATGTGCTGCCCACCTTTCTACTTTATCTTCTCCACCCCTCTCCCTTACACAACTAATCTGCAACAAAATGTACATTCTCTGGGTTTGTTATTATTGTCATATATTCCCTGATAGATGAAGAAGAAAGTGAATTTTCTTACCCAGCCACATCAGCAGGGAGAATATCTGATGGACTTGTACGTTCTCACTTTTCATAATTTCATAGCACCCTCTTCCCCCCCAAAAAAAGAAACTTTCCAAGTGTTTTCAAAGGAGTTAATTCTCTGATAACAAGCGTGCGGGAGTCAGAGCAAACAGAGAACTGAGGAGCCAAAACATTAAATAACTCACCTGTAATCACAGTTACGAGTGGAGGGGGCCTGAGCTTGACCTCCAGCTTCTAGATGAGTGCTCTTCCTGCTATTTTTAACCCATGTCAAGCCAGTTGCATCTGGTCATGCACTCCACTGAAAGGAAAAACAGAAAGACTAACCAAAATGGACATATCTTGTAGGCCGAATTACCTCTTTTTCATGATGACGGGTGGTGAGGTAACTGGCAGCATGATTTGCACATGTAATTGTTCCAGCCTTGGTGATGAAAAAGATGCCATCAAGCCAGCTGCCCACATAGGGGTGGGGGGCGGGGAGTGGAATCCATTGACTGAAAGGGGTTATTCCAACGTCCAGGTTACTGCGAATTACAATGTAAAATGTTACGAAGAAGAATATTTGAAGGCAATATTCTGTGCTCTGAATGTGGCTGAAGAGAAAGGACTTTTTCTCTTAAGTAACGTTCTCTTGATGATCTCAACCTCGATGGCTTTTAATGATTAATGAGTAATATGCTTAGTCTAATGCTGACCTAAGAATGTGTTTTGCCTCTCAAAAAATTCAGCAGATTAGCCACAACCTGGACGTGTACTTTTCAAGTAATTTTCTCACAGATACAATTAAGTAATGTCTTGGAGTGTGCCCAGTTGCAGCCCACATAGGAAACCTGCTAGCCAGGAAAGAATCACTTGAAACCAAGCGCCTAGTACCATTATGAGGCAGCCCTAATAATATTTGCCTAAGAAAACTTTCCTTTAAAGGTAGACTTTAAAATACAGCTTTGAAATCCATTTGCTTGATTACATAGAGTTATAGCTTTAGAATTATTTGTAAAGGCACTCAAATGTATATCAGATTCCTTTTGTTATGTATTTATGTGTGTGGAAATGCATTTAGAATGAAAAGCTTGAGGATCAGATTTCCCCATTTACTTGTGTATGTGAAAGGTAGCAAACATAAGAGAGGGGTCAACAATGACCAGGTTTCTGATATTAATAGCTGTTCTAACTTCTTGGTTGTAATGATCCAAAACAGCCTCTTTAAAAATGAGCAGCGAGGAGACCAAGAAGGGTGAGATCTCAAAATCTCTAGCATCAGCCTGTACCAGCATCTGGCTCTTTAGAGAGAGGGCTGCTAACCACCCTTGAATGATGATACTGCCTTCCAAGGTTGACGTTAGCCAGAGTAGAGATTTCCTAGTCTGAGGCCGGGACATCCCCAAAACTCATAAAATTAAACAGCTGTTGGTGCAAAGTTTGCAAATGAGTTTCTGAACCTCAAAATAGCAACAGCTACTATTGAGTAGATTTTTATGTCTGGAACAGATACTGTTCTTCAATGCTTTGTGTAGGTTACTCACAACAGCCTTCTGTGATCGTATTATCATCCCCCATTTCACAGAGAGGATCAACACCTTGCCCAGGGGCCACAGGGACTATCAGCAGCAGAGCTGGGATTTAAAACTAGAACACACTGGATTTTGCGTGCCTTTATATACAAAATGAACAATTGGAAAAAACGATCGTGACTAACTACTGCACAGAAACTATTAGACAGATTCCCCATCCATAAAATCTAATAATTGGGAGAGGCTACTAAAGTCATCTAAGATACTCTTCCTGTAACCCAGAGGCATATGAGATGTATTTAACCATTTATTTTTCCCCCAGCATTTTACCTTCTGAAGTTCTCTTAATGAAAAGGAAACATTTTTAATTGATGACATTAAAATTAAAGGTTAAAATTTTTCCCCTTTTTATTGAATAATTTTAAATTGATAATTCAGCTTTATAAAAACTTTGTCCATAAACCTCTCACTTCTCTATTTTCTCTGTTATTTGTTTGTACATTTATAAAATTGAAGTTTTTGTTCTTTTTTAACCCCTCTCTCACTAGTTCATGTGCATTTTTCCATGTATCTACACTCGGCCATTTTATTTTTCTGTGTTGCCCATCTAAGCATCAGGGTAAGAAGATAGTGATAGTCCTAACTGACAGTTTTCTTTGCTAGTAATAAAAGTGAGAAATAAGTAAGGTCACTTAGGATAATCACACCTTATATTCTCTTTCGAGTCATTCTCTAGCATGTCTGGAAAAGTTACTGATAAAGGACATGTATTTAAATTTTTACCGAGATAAAAAAATGAAGTTTTGTTTCAGGGAGTCCCTTTTAATTTTTATGGCTAAATTTTATTATCCTTTTTTTTAATCTCACAAGCTTGAGTGTTTACCCCATTAAATTCTTTCCTTTTCACCAATCTTTTTTCTCCCCTACACACTTGTATAAAACATTCATATGTGATTTGGAACATCTTAAGAAATTTAGGTTCACACTTAAAAGAAAAAGAAGTCTTTCTTTATAGTTGGAGGCCGACCACATAAGCTTGTGGCAAGTAATTAGTCATTAAGAAAGCAAATGAATGGATTAGAATTAATGAATAGATTAGAAATTTTAATTACATGAATCAGCAGAAGTCAGAAAACTACAGATTTTTCCCAACTCTTCCCCATCTGCCTTTTCTGTCCACCAACTGGCTTTCTGGAAAAGAGAGAGTCTGAAATAAGTTTAACATGATTTGATTTGTGCAGATGCAGGAATGTGAGTCTGGGTGGCAGTAATCAGGAAGGTAGGGAGACTGGCAGGTGCCCCTTGAAGGAGCTGACACTGCTTTTTGGAGCCACTGTCATGCTGGCACTGCCGTGAAATTCTCTCTCTAACAGGAAAAGTAGTGACAGTAAAGGTTTTAGTCATGAAGACTACAGTGCCAACCTTTTTTTTTTTTTTTTTTGGAAGAGTTAGCATTTGAAAATTAAATGAGAATTGGCGATCTTTAAGAGACCCCAACTAAATACCAATTACGAAAAGGATAAAATGTAGATACAACCTACAGTGTGGTTGCTTGAAACTTAGGAATTTGACTTTTCATATGTTTTCCTAAAGAACAATAAGTGAAAATCAGGGCAGCCTGTGAAAACACAGTGTCCAGCATTACCTAGTGCCATAAAATTCTATAAAGAGGCAGATTTTGATTGAGAGAAAGAGACTCTGCTAGCACTTAGCGCCTCCCTCTAGTGTAGCGTAAGCCTTCTTACTGTCGTTACTTATCTACATGTCTGTCTCCCCCTAGAGTGTGAGCTCCTCGAGGGCAGGAACCCTGTTTTTATTCATCTTTGTGTCCCGGTGCCAAGCACAGTGCCTGGCTCATGGTAGGTGCTCACTCAATGTTTGTTGAATGAATATAGCAGTGCTTCTTGGGTTGATCAGCTAATTTCTTTTTTGTTTATTTTGTTGGGTTTTTTTGTTTGTTTGTTTTGTTTGTTTTTGCCCAGTGTTGTTAGTGTTTTTGGTAGATGGAAAAAAATGGAAGAGCCTTTCATTCAACATTCTGCGTTTTAACATTGGATTTCACAGGAATCACCCTTCAGTCATAGTACAGCCTGGGAAGAGACCTTTGCCTGTGGAATCTCCAGACGCCCAGAGGAAGCGGAGGATACACAGATGTGATTACGACGGATGCAACAAAGTGTACACTAAAAGCTCTCACTTGAAAGCACACAGAAGAACACATACAGGTATCAGAAATACAAGACTCACTTTACCTCCTTAAAGAAATATTAGAATGAAATGTTAAGTCAAACATTCTAAGTTTCAGACATTTTAATGAAATTTGTTCAGGCATCTTGAAAGTTACCATTGTCTGTAGGTGTCTCTGTCGTGAAAACTGAGGTTTCTGATAATGATTTACTTTTGTAGTGTGAGCGTAGATTCTCTAACAAGGTCCTTCACAGTTACTTGCAGTTCTGTACTCTGCGTAGTGAGGGAGCGTGGAAGGCAGCACCTCCACTGGAACAGAGGGGAGCCCGCTCGTAGCCGTGGGCCCATTTCATCAAGGCTGTGGTCTTCTCGTGGGCTCTCATTTCGTGAATGTTATACGTTATCAGATTCACAGTATCAAAAGACAAATAGATGCAGCAGTTTATAGAAATGGAGTTTGGGTTAGTGCTCTCTTCTAAAATCGAGGGAACTGCTATGTGATTTGCCTGCCATATCTGTTCCTAGAATATCTTCCATCTTGCCCAGTATCGAATATAGAGTGTGCAGCCAGATCTTTGTAGAGGTGATGAAAACATAAAATTGTTCTTGGGTTCTTAAACATTTTATAGCAAACTATCTTAAGGAATTCATATAAAAATGTTTTAAACAGCCTGATTAATTGCAGTCAGTATTGGTGGTTAATGTTTACTGTAGGCCGTATCTGACCTAACCTCGAACCCTTTGGTGTGAACTTCTAATGCAACAGTAATTTGCCTCTGTGTCCATTGTTCTTAGCTCAGAATGTACATTTCCTTGAGTCTTTCTTACTATGACTATTTAGAAAGAGAGGACTCGGGTTTGGAAGAGAAAAAGGCAGGAAAGTGTCTGGCAGAGTCAAAGTGGAGCTGATTTTCAGTGAATCCTCAGGAGAGAAAGCCGAGGGAGAATGAAAATCAGCCTTGGTACAAGGCTGGCTTTGTCACCATGCTGCCCAGGAGAGAGCTAAGGGGAATAGCCTTGCCTTTAGGAAGCACCCAGTCACTGAAATCTGTGCCCAGGAGTCATAAAAACACGCCCAGGGCATTAATGGGACCTGCAGGCGGAAGGGGAGCGGGGGTCACTGAAGTCTAGGGGAAGGTTAAAAAGACAGTGAGTGTTTGCATAATTCAGATGTAGGAAGAACATCCCTCTTAGCATTTGTATGCTGTGCAGCAAAATAGATAATACAAATTATGAATGTCTCATTGGAACACCAAGGAATGGCAGTCCTGTCAGGTCTCTAGAGAACAAGTAATAGTAAACAGGAATTATATTGTGATGCCCATTACCTGTTATTTATACTTTAAACGTGTAAGAAAGCCATTCATAGCCTTTTTATTTATAAAAGCCTTCATACTGCTGGCTCTCTCTGTGATTTTCCCACGAAGGTCTTCTGTTCCTTACCTGCAGATTTACCATTATTCCATAGGAGAGGTTGGAGAAGCCTGGTTTCTGACAGCATGGGGGAGGAATTACTATATTTTTAGTACTTCTGAATTAAAACATTATGCTTTGTCATAGTTATTGACCAAACAGAAGATAAGATGTTGAAATCCCTGACACATATTTCGGTTGATAGAGACTTCAGATTTTTAGAAAACTATTGAAAAGAATAAGAAAATCCCACAAACTTTCAATTCAGACTTCTCATTGAATGGTTAGCACTGCTTCTAAGGTCCTGAAGAGTTTAAGACAATACACAAATACAAATCACCGGGAATTTCTTGTTATTAATCCCTACTAGTAAGGACAAAACCAAACTATGTGGCCCCTCAGAATGGATTTAATGCCTTTAAGCTTTAAGAACTCTTAAAATTACACCCCTCATGGGGGGTGGGGCGGCGAGCCAGTTAAATTTTTAAGAGAATTAGTTCATTGTTTTCTTTCTTGTCCTGTAGTGCTTATTGAGGGACAAACGGATGAACATACCTTGGAAATAATCTTTGTCAACAGCTTTAGCTCAAAAAGTTTAATTTTATTGTCTTTACTAATTAATAGACTCTTGCTGTCAGGAAAAAAAAATAAATGAGCTCTTTTCATTTTTCCCTGTTGCAGGAGAAAAACCCTACAAATGTACATGGGAAGGGTGCACGTGGAAGTTCGCTCGGTCCGATGAACTGACAAGGCATTTCCGAAAACACACTGGAATCAAACCTTTCCAGTGTCCAGACTGTGACCGCAGCTTCTCTCGTTCTGACCACCTTGCCCTGCACAGGAAGCGCCACATGCTCGTCTGAACGCCTCCGGCTCCCGCCTCGGCGGGCTCCCCACTCGCCCAGCTCTCTCTCTCTCTCTGTCCTCCTATGATCTAACTCATTTTTTACATGTACATTTTCATTTTGATTCAGCTGGTCTGAATCTGAATTTATATCATTCAAACTTCCATATGGTCAGTAGTAGTAAATATTCTCTAATCCTCCCTCTCCTTACCACGGGTCAGACCTAAAGAATGTGA